CTGCATATAGCCCACAGCTGCCCTGAATTTAGCCTCCATTGCTGGGGCCAATGAAGGAGAAATTGTTACATCTTTAGCATTGGCCTCTCCCGGCATTTGGAACTTAAGTTCATGATTGGGAACATCATAGAAGAAAATGAACCCAGAACAGAAACTCCCCTTCTCTGTCCTCTGTCAGTGACCTGAGGTGTCCATTGTGGAGAGGATGGGGATCGGCTTTCTGCTTAGTTCTTAGGAATGATGTAGCTTGCTAAGGGCCACACTTCGGGGCCCCACCTCGGGCTTCACTCCAAGTGTGGCAGGTTGGGGTGAGTGGTCCCAGGTGATTGTCATAAACAGTCAGGCTTGAAAACCACTGTCCTGGGATGAGCTTGAGGGGGAGCAGCAGTTTATTCCTGTTGGTGCCACACTTCTCTGGAGCAGATATGCCAAGGTGTCAGACAGAATTTATAAAATGTATGAAGCTTGGTGAAATTATGTAGGTTTTGTGATGAATGAAATCTTGGGTTAGGGAATGATGAGTGGTGTCCTGGGCAAGGCTTTAAAATGCCTGCAGAAACTTGTGGGGCAGACTTACTGAGGCTCTTTAGAGCTCTCTGGCAGTACTCAGTCCAGTACATGCATGGGGGTGAAGTGATGCGGACGTTGATCCAGATTGTGGAGCCAAGACAGGCAAGCAGAAGAATTCAAGGTGAGAAGAAATGGCTTCTTCCATTAAGAGCTTCACTGTGAGGAAGAGAAACAATAGGCCAAAAGTAGTTGCTTATTCCCATTGTCTCAGCACTTATGAGACGGATAGGCCAAACGTAGTTGCTTATTCCCATTGTCTCAGCACTTATGAGACGGAACATTCCTGGGATTTGTAGGCGAGCCTGGTCCGCAGAGTGAGACCCCTTCTCAAAAAGAAGTTAATAGAGGCAGTTGGTGGGAGATGTACTTCATGGGGAGAATGGTGGCCAAGGGGAGAGAGGATCCGCATGCAATCATGTTGGACGTGGTCATGGCGGGGGGGGATTATTTCCATTTGGTAGGAGGCTTCAAGCACCAGACTATAGTAATTGTTCTCTGTTAACTGTCATTTGATGATGCCAGGGGCCGCCTGAAGAATGAGAACCTTTGTGGTTTGGGTTTTATCATTTTTGTTCCATCTTACCTGTCTTCTAGTCCTACTTATGCAGTTTCTGTGTCTGTTTTTGTCTCGGTGTCTCTGCATCCCTACATCTCTGTGTCTCAGTGTCTCTTCGTTTCAGTGTCTCCATGTCTCTGTCTCTATGTCTCTGTGTCTCTGTCTTTGTCTCGGGGTCTCTGCATCTCTGTGTCTTTTTGTCTCTGCATCTGTATCTCTTTGTTTCTGCATCTCTGTGTCTCAGCATCTCCGTGTCCCTGTGTCTCTAATCTATTCCAGAGCATGAGTGGCAGCACCCTGGTCACAGGTTAACATTAGAATCACAATTCTCAGCTTGTGGATTAGTGTCTGTTTTCACAAAGTCTTGCATGATTTGAAAGTTACTGCTTTGTACCTCCCTCTCCCCTATTTTTCTGAGTCAGGGTCTGACTGTATAGTCCTAGAAAACCTGGAACTCTATGTAGGCCAGGCTAGACTCCTTCCTCTGTCTTCCCTAGTGCTGGGAATAAACACATGTGCCACCATCATACCTGTGGCACTTTACATCAGAGCCACCCAAGAGGCTCACCAAAAAAAGGCAGAGAAAGGAAGAGGGGAAAGTACAGGTGTCTGCTGTGCACTCACCGAGGTGTGGATGGCAGTGAGGATGGGGAAGCTCCATGAGGTATCTAGTGGGTAGCAGGTTAGACCTTCTGCCTCCTATCAGAGAGTAAAGTAATGGAACATACATTGTTCTGTTTGCTTTCTAGGCACAGACACTGCGCACTCAGCAGCTCTTTACAGTATCACCTTTCAGGAGGCAGGAGGGGTAGTCAGGTCTAAAGTCAATCTGTTGGAGAAATTTAGACATAAAGTCTTTTTTAAAAAAAGATTTATGTAGCCAGGTGGTGGTGGCACACATCTTTAATCCCAGGACTTGGGAGGCAGAAACAGGCAGATCTCTGTGAATTTGAGGCCAGCCTGGTCTACAAAGTGAGTTCCGGATGGCCAGGGCTGTTACAAAGAGAAATCCTGTCTCAAAAAACAAACAAAAAATTATTTTTACCATTTTATTTTATTTAAAAATTTTCCTTTTACCATTTTAATTGTGTGTATCTGTGTATATACATACATGAGTGCGGGTGCCCTTGGAGACCAGAGACATCAGAGCTTGCTGGACCTGAAGTTAATGGTGGTTTTAAGTTACCCAGTGTGGGTACTAGGAACCAAACTCTGGTCCTCTGCAAGAGAAGAATAGGATCATAATCACTGAACCATCTCTCCAGCCCCTAGATATCAAATTATAACTTTTACATATTCTAAAGAGCTGGGCCAGGCAGCTTACTAGTCCTTCAGTTATCTGGGGTTCAAATTTATTGTTTTTTTTAGCTGGACCTGAGTTCTACCATTTTAACTATTGTTAGGACCAGATGAGGTGATTGCCAGTAAAAGCTTTGCAAACAGTGACATGTCTATAAAGACGGTGTCATCACTGAAGCATTGTGTCACCATCAGGTTAGGGGAGGCCCATGCTGCTGCCATTTGTGGGAATCTTCTGTCTCACCTGTCACAGGCTTTACTTCCCAGTGACCTGGCCTCCTTGGGCAGCCTTTGCATGTGCTGTCCCTGGTAATCACCCTCCCAAGAGTCCCCTTTCAGGACCCAGTGTGCTGCCTGCTGCCTTTTTTTTTGTTAGTAGACAGTTTTAAATTAGTTCTAGCTGGAAGATCAGTGTTGAGTAGCAGCTTATCTTCTGTGGATATTTTAGCTCCAGGATTTAAACCAAAGCAAATAGATTGTGGGAGAATTTTTAGAGAACGTGGTAAGTTAGGAGCAAAGGTAGTTTTGGTTTTGTTTGGAGGCCTGCCTCCTATTGGTTGTGTGTATTAAGGTTCATCCACCAGGATCTAAAGTAGTTGCATATTAGTTTTTGTTAAATGGTGGGGTGATCTGGGGACAGAGAGACCAGACCAAGAAGAAACTGAAGCAACAATAAATGAACTCTTGAGGTTGCAACATTTAAGGTCACTGGCTGAACTTACCTATATTTTTTCAGGATAGAGCCAAGATCAATGCAAGCAGGCATGCACACAGAGCTTTTATTTAGTGAGCTTCCAGAGAAGTTGTATTTAAAAAGTACATAAGCACTTTCCAGAAGTGATGGCTGAGGTCTGGTGGCCCATTTCACAGAACATGACACTGGCTTGTGTGAGAAATCAATGTGGCAAATAGGTACCAATTGCCATGAAAACATAGAATCATTGCAGATGAAGAAACACAAAGGAAAGGGAATGGTAGAGGATTAGAAGGTGAATTTCAGTTCCTTGGTAAATCATAGTTGGGCTGGGGTTAGCGCCATTGTGTTCACCCCAACAGGAGTATAACTGTATCCATAGTTCAAGTCCTGCATATGGTCTGGGGAAGTCCAACCAGTGGGAAAACGCATACTAGATAAAAGCTGCTCCATCATATTATTAGGGAAGTCCCTAGAAGCTCAGCTGCACGGTTATGAAAATGGACTCCCAGGTTGGTTACCTTGCTCTATGTAGGCAGGGAGATGGCACCATTGCTGTTGTAGAAACCTACGGGTTCCAAGTAAGTGAAGGGATGTTGAAGCCGAAGTCCCCCACTGCTGTGTGCTTTGTGAAGCCCTGTCCCTCATTTCCAGGGGTCTCCAACTGTGCCTCTCTTCCGTTCTCCTTCTCACAGACAGCTTATTAAGGAGAGAAGCATATTGTCAAACGTCAGTTTGGATTAACACTTTCTTTAAGCAGACATTAATTTGCCGATCACATAATTGAATGTGTAGCCATCATGTGACTGAGTCTTCATTTTTACCTTGCAGATTACCCATCATTATTCTAGAGCAGTAAGCCTGGGTCTAAATAAGCAATGGTTGGCTAATTTAGGTATTTGGGCAGTTGTTAAAGAAGCCTCTGTGTAACAGTGTCCCTTGGAAGACAATAAGCAGTGACACAGCTTCGGACTTGAAAGCCCGCTGCCCTTTGCGTCTGGAGCATTGCTGAGCTTCGCAATTAGCTAGAGCTTTGTAAAGAGAAAGAATCATTGCATACTCCACTGCGCCCTGACAGTCTCTGAGATTATGCGATTAACTCCACTGTCGTGGGTGGCTAATTGGCTGAGCTTAAACCTTCACACCACCAACCATATAGAGGATTATGGGGAATAGGAAGTTTTTTGGGGGTTTGTGTTGATAGTTTTATGTCTGGAAGGAGAAGCTTCTTACAAGATGGCTGCCTCCTAGACTCAAAAGGCATTGTCACATTTTCTTGGAGTACAAGCACCTTAATTTAAAGCATACACTTTTCTCTTGAGCTACTGAAAATGTATGGACCTTGTAGTATATATTCTATCACTGTGTGGGCAGGCCAAGAATGCACAAGAAAAATTACATTAAATCTTACATTAAGCCAGGCTGTAGTGGCCTTTACTCCCAGCACTCAGGAGGCAGAGGCAGGTGGATCTCT